CCAAAAATGACTGTTGATTAAAAGCATAATTTTTAAATAGGAAAATAGTTATAGCAAGCGAGATACTCTATCGTCCATAGCGATGACATTAGCAAATCATATTGACTTATATTAAGCAGATACGTATACGTTAAAGCGGCATGTGATGTAACAATATAAATAAAGTGCTTGGCGTTTTCTGCGTAACAGAGTCGCCGGAGGCGGTAGCGGTCTTTTGCTGCAACTACTGTTGCCATTGCCAATATCGCCATTGGGAATGCTCTTTTTAATTATAGCAACGGCCTGTCGTCGTCGTTGTCAATGATTTTCGGGTGTAGCTACCACTGTTGCCATTGCCACAACGTCGCTACCCTTTTATATATTATATATATATACATATAAAAATACTGTTACATGCGAATCAAATGGATGTTGGAACTTGCTCACGTTTGAGTTATGCGCTACTAAAAGACGAAATCTGCCTAGTAAATATTCCAGTTAGTTAGAAACTTCAGGCTGAGTTTACTTCAGAGAAAATCAGATCAGTTTTCTTTGTGTCAGAAGTCGACGTCCAATGGTGAAGTGTTTGTCCCTCGAAGGTCACAGCGCCGCACAATTCAATCGAAGATAGATGAAAATATTAGACAAGGAAGTTTTACATCAAGGCGCAGTACGTAAATGCTGCAGGCATTTCAAGAACGAGGCTAGAGCATTGAAAACCAGCGAGTAGCTATCGGTACATGAAGGACAAAAACGCAACGGTAAGGCCCCGCACAAAAGCATAGCTGTGCTTTGTTGACCAAAACTGGCATTTCGCATGTAATATGTTACCGAATTATAATCCAAATACTGAAAATGTGAAGACTGAGAAAAAAAATAGGTCCACCATAAATTTATATCAGGCCAGTTGGAAGCGTGCTGGGTGTCCCACGTGCAATTCGCGGAACTTCAATCAGCACATAGAATAGGGTCGCCATAGACCATGCATGATTCAGTCCCTCCCGCCAACCGGAGAGAGAGCTGGCACCGCTCTCGAGAGATATCGGGTTCGGTGGCAATATTGGATAGGTTCGAGCGTACGGTGATACTGGTACCTACAGTGGACATCAGGAACATCTGCTGCTATGGAATCGCTGAAAATGAAACAGTGAACTCAGCCCATTAGCTCGAGTTTTTCAAGAGACTTATAGATTGTTGATAGGGCATGCGGTCTGGTTACCTGATAACAATGCCAGATTTTATTATCATGGCCTAATTATTACGTAGCTGAGCAAAGAAATATATAACCCTTAAACCCGCCTATTTTCTACATTTAAGTGCCAGCGTTTACGGGGCTCTTCATGCGGTAATAAAGACAATGGATAGGAAAGCATGTCCCATTATCGATTTACTTTGGAAAGGCATAAATAGAGAAGTTGCGTACGAGAGCATATATAAGAGCTTATTAGTTGTCCAAAAGCCTATAATAAAAGCCTTAAATAATAAAGACCAGCCGTGTCGGGTATTGGCGAAGATAAAAATTTTTTTAGCTGGGTTACTAATACCCAAAACATTTGAGATAGGCTCAACAGATACCAGAAGATCTTATTTCAGGATATGATAAAAAAGGAATGTGGCAAATTCAATTTCTCTTTTGATCTGATTCGGTATTTATAGGAAGTCACGTTTCTTTATGGTAACGATGCGCTCCCATCAACTGCAAGGCGAGAATTACGACTGAAAGTGTTATAAATTGTCAGAAGATATTTCGTTATTTACACATAACAAAATATATAAAATGCACTTTATATGTAATGGTTCATTACTAGTGGAATGAAAAATTATATAAAATTAAGCTAACGTAGGCGACCTACGCGTGTCGACGCTTAAGAAAAAGCACAGATTGTGAGGAAAGCTAACGGACGGCGAGCAGCTAGACCACAATTGGCGATGTCACCCTGGGTCGCACTCGCTAGTCGGTACCTTAGCTTCGTTGTTGTTTACATATTGCGTATATTTTTTCATATGAAAATATGGTTCCATAGTGGTAAAAATAGATGATAGGAATTATAAATTCTAAACACGTATCATATATTTCAAACGAGTTTTTCATGCAGAGATTTGCTTAGCGAACTCCCCACTTTGTATTTCTGTTTTAGTAAAAGAAGCTGTATTCAAACGAGGGCTTAGAGTTGCCGTGAAGTATCACAGATTCTCATAAACGCAGTATATATTTTGGTTGCTAGACGGGTTCCTGCTAATCTTAGGGACACGTCAGGGTTCGAGTCCGCGCATAGACACATATTGCTCCGTGCTGGAAGCCAGCCATCTAAAATGCCGGATGTAAGACTCTAACGTATTACATGCAGATGAAATGATCGAGGTACGAGCATATGAGCGCTTCTTACAATATACAGCCACATCTGCTCACAACAAATGTAGAGATTACGTTTTCTTGTAAAAAAAAAAACACATTTCAATTATCAAACAATAATGCATATTTCGCTATATAATGCCCAGAAATATATAGCATATATGACAGTGCTGCGGTCACTTTACGGAGATTTTTTGAATATATTAATATTGCCCTTCTGTACCAACACTTATATAGGTGCTGAGCGAGTAACAACTATCAACTGTTCGTTCCCACCAGCTAACAACATAAGTAAATCAGTCCGCTTGAATATATTTGTTTATAATTTTATAAATATATTTATTTATGAAATTCATGTGTCATTCAAAGGTGCTGCCTTTAAAGCTAAAAATATCACTGCTGGTACTTCTTGGTGGAATGATTACACTGTAGGTAGACTCTAGGAAGACCCCCCATGATAACTAGGCTAAATAACTAATAAGACTTTCGCCGTCGAAACTCTGCGACCGAGGGAAGTTGTTTCAAGCCACAAACGTTTGCCAGCCAGTTTTCCTGATCCAATCGTGACCGGTAATGAGGTGAACTACTTCCAAGAGTGTCAAATCCTCGCCTCGTACCGCCTCCATGGATACGTAAAATTCTCTCTCTACAAGGTCGAACACTGTTGTTATCTGTAATTGAAGTGACATATTATAGTATAAGCGACTTTCTTCAAGCAGCACTGCTTTTGCTTAATACTAGAACATGATCGGGTTTATGTAGATGAAGCATTGGGATAGGCGCGAGTATTTCAAAATGTCCTAATAGAATTCCTGCTCTTTGACTTTTGGCTTTGTGAGAGCTGTGATTGGACTGTTTGAGCTAAGCATTGATCGTTGCTGTGACGCACACACTCTCCCTTGCTAAGAAGAAGAAGCGGCAGGGGAATATTATGTGCGTTTTAGTATATATCGAACGTGTACGGCAAGCGTATGTATTGCAGTTTTGTCAAAGGTTGCAGGTTCCATAAAACTTTTTCGAAGGAACTTGAAAATTTCGTATTCTATTGATTGTTTAGAAAGAAAGTTAGATAGGTCAGGTCGCCGTATCTTTTGAACATCATGAGGTATCTTTTGAACAATTTGCGCCATTGAGGCTGCTAGTGAAAAAAAAAAACATATATGCTATGCGGTGTCCTAGTAAATCAATTAGAGGTTGTTTGTAATATTTTAACCGTCAAAAGAAGTCTATCACCGCCTTTTTTATGAGCTGCGTAATCTTCCGAAAACTGGAGCATTTGAAAAGGAGCAAACACGAATGCTGCTGATGAACTCGATTAATGCTTAGACAGTTAAATAGCGAAAAATGAATATTTTGGAGTGGTAAGCTAGATTAGCGGCGGACAAATCAGGTGTTCTGTATTGATCGTTGAAGTTCTGGACAAATTTGAAGCCAGACATCAGTTGGTGTGTGTGTTTACGCTTTTTAAGTACGCGTCATTGTTTATTGTTACTGAGGCGAACCACGGTCTTCGTAGCTGCAAGCTGTGAAGTAGTTCTACATTTGATCATCTTCTCTTTCAACATAGTGTATAATAAGTCTTGAAGATTTGGCTTGAAGTTATGTATTACTTTGGACCATTTTTCGTCCTATAGTTTAAGCATGGAAGCCACTAGCCGATTGCGCAGACACCGGCCTGTGTATGTCCTGTGTGGCTATAAAAAGATGGACTGCGTGTACGCGTACAACAACTTTTCCTCTAAAAACATTCTGGAGAAAAATCAGGAAAGGAATAACTTACTGGTAGTAATTTTTTGTAGACTTGTCAGGATTTCTGCCCTCTCACATGCGTCTGACCTAGTAGATCTGTACTCCTTCGCGATCTGCAGTTCATCCTGGTTCGGTGTGGGCCAGTGCAAGCTAAACTCTATTACTATCTATCCCAAAATAATACAAAAGTTTGTATATATATTGCATCTACAGGAAAATCTGCCGCTATAAAAGTGATATCAGAAGATACACGGCCTTGTGCACTAGATAGTATGCCAACAGTTTTTTTTGTTTCAGCCGTTGCTCCAGAACTTAGTATTATCTTATATTTGATTTCAAGTTCAAGTAGTAACAATAGCGACAGCGGCAACAACAACCTAAGATAAATACGCTATTTTATTATAGCCGGTATAACCAGAATTTTATCCCCAAAACAACATACAGCTTTAACTTAAAATGGCAGTTCTATGCCCAGCGATGTACTTTTTATATCAAAATGTGTAAATAAAAACTTTATGGAGCTCTTTAAGTCACGATGCTGAATCCAAGGATTTGAAAAATAAAAATGTACATCAAGATGTTGACATGCGAAAAAGAATGAGCAGACGTAAGTTATTTGTGAAGTATTTGGGTGTGAAGGTGAACGGCGTTCAATGTGGTATGCCAGTTATTCCATCCGAAATTGCACCGCCGGATACAGTAAATAACGGCGCGACAATTTATCTAATGTCTTCTGTGAAATAAAAAAAAAAAAAAAACGTTGTATTTCCTAACATCTAGCAAATTGTTACTGTCTAATACGCATTTGTGTTGCCCTGTGACATGTGATACAGTTTATCCGTAGTTTTTTGTTGCTTTTTAACGGTAACGTCAGCTTGTGCTATTGATTAACAAATTTTCATTTGTCGTTGCTAATCAGGTTGAACGCGACGTCGGGTTTTATCACGTCCGGCGTAGGCAACTACACAACGGACATGAAATGCACCTGGCTTATCGACGTCACCGGAGATCACGCCACCCGCTATGATCCCGGGGCCGATGCTAACGCTTTGGAAAATAGCCTTGTCCGGACAGGGAACAATGGACCGGCAGGTTCCAAATCGGCGATCAGTCGTCAAAACGGTAATGGCAGCAGTGTTGCTACTAACTTCGTTCAGCGCAACCGCACGATCAGGCTTCGACTGAATCGTTTCGAGACGGAGTGCGGCTGGGATCATCTGTATGTATTCGATGGCGACTCGATGTTTGGCCAGATGATCGCTGCATACTCAGGGGCGCTCGTGCCTGAACTCGCCGGGGAGACGGTCTCCGATCTTGTCGCAAATTCGGGTACGTTATACCCACTATTAGATGAAGCGAATCGAATAGATCTTTATTTTATACTCGCGAAAAGTACATTCTCTCTGTGTGTAGGATAGTGCCCGATCAGTTATCTGCTATCGATTTCCCTACTTTACAAGCTCGCACTCTTGGGAATCTGGTAACTAGTTGCAAGGATTCTTCTAAAAAAATTTTAAAAATGATTTTTTAAAAAGAATTTGTTATTATATGTTACAGGTTCATGGGCACAACACTAAGATAAAGAGCTCGTAATTTCTCTCTAACACTGAAAGGGTAAAATTCATCAATAAGCATTAATTTATTTTGCATTAAACTAAAATCAAATACAGGACCTTATGTTAACGTTTAAGACTCCAAATCGTGGTGTTAGCGTTTAAGTGAATTAAGGCTTTCGCTATTTTTTTGCTAGCTGGATCTGATTAAAGTCACACTCTACGCTTTAGATCATGCATGGTCTTCATTATGATGCCATTTTACGTCGAGGGGTAGCGATGAATCGATTTTTTCGCAGTTCATGCCCTTCGATCTGAGGCGACCCTTGCCTTAAAACAAATTTAGGCAGCTTAGTAATTCCTAGATTAGTGCTGTGTCTTTCACTGCCAGTTGTGTTTCAGGACATGATAGAAAAATGGCGGCCTTATAAATTCTAGTACATGCGCTTTAATAAAGTGCGCATGCTTTTATACGGCTAGATCACTTTAGTATAGGACACAAGAACTGCTAGCCGAAATTATGATTCAAACACTTGCTATATAAATTGTATTGTTTCGGTTTTTTGTATGACATCAGATAATGCACAAACAGTCACAGATGTAGAGATCTGTGCAATCGCACTCTGAACAATCAGATCCAATTATTCTATTGGGGATGCGTTTTGGCAAGGACTAGCGCTTCTCGGAATCGACAAATCCCATTAAGTTGATTCAGAGGACAAGAAAGCCTTACATTAAATGACGCCTTCTGTTTGCAGGTCCTTGTTTATCCATACAATTTTAGTTAAACAATAGTTTAACAACTACAATAAATGATTATGGAATTATTGCCAGTGTCAGGCCACTATTAGTTGTTTGAAAAAAATCAGCTTCATTAACAAACACTAGGACACATAAGCGACAATCGAATGGACATACTGTTAATGTACACAGCACGAACAGCCCTCAAAGAAAGAGAAATTCGAAAACAGGTCCTTTGCGAATACTGTTGAAGCACCACACAAGTCATAATAGCCGCGTTTTCTAGATTACAAATATTTCCTAATAACTAAATATTACACACACATCATATATATAATGATAAAAAACCAGTCTGGGAAAATTCAATAAAAGGCTTAAAAATAGTCACCTGAACAATCGGTGCGGCAGCGCCAACGTAGTTGCTTCTCGATAGTGTCCCTTGACCATTCCTATAATAACCACATTGTCGTGGTGTAAGCGGTTTCTATTGCAGCTACTGATTGACAATCGAGTACATTGTATATGGATCAAAACTTCGATGGGCATAGAATACTTTAATTTACATTAGGTTGCGCAACAGCCATATATGCAGAGTGTTTTTCCGCAACGTAGTGCTCTGTGTATAGTTGACATAAGATGGAGTTAGGACCATGTTATTAGGAATGATCTGCATGCCATACGCTACCTGCGAACAGGTTACACTGCGTTATATTATACGTCTATATACGCAGAGGTTGGCTTCACGTTAAGGTCACAATGAGTAGTGTGTTAAAATTTATATTTAGCGAACTTCTGAGCACTCCTTCAGAAAAAAAAAACTCATAAAACAGAAGCAGAGGGAACGGTCGATTGAAATTAAGCAAAAACAAGCTCTTTTTTAAACGGCTTTCGCCATATCTAATTTACACTATCTTTTTGCTAAATCAGTTTAAAAAATGCCCATTTATTATGAACTGAAATATCCTTCGATATGATGAAGTTAAATCATCTAAGTGAACCGCTCGGCGGCTTACGATAGGATAGCAGAAAGTTTTTTAGTACGGGTACCTAGATCAAAGATCTGTATTCATGACGCGAAAAAAAACTATAGAAACAGAACTGGATTTCCTCTTGTGTTTGATAGAGTTTAAAAAGGGTTTCTTTAGCCTTTTAAATAAAGTATGTCACTTTTACCTTTGTTTGCGAATCAAATGAAATTTCTTGTATCGATAGTAAAAGCATAGTACTTCTTGTGAAAACAATTTACAATTCGCAGGAAAGGCGTTCATTCATTTCTATTCGGATGCGGTGTACAACATGAGCGGGTTCAACATCTCATACTCTGTGGATAGGTGTGTATAATTCACGATCATTGCCGCTCATATAAATAGAAGCATACAGGACTGAAAGCTGTTCTAACAAATTCCATATATCTTGATACTTACTCCCAGATGTCCAGATGACTGCAGCGGGCAGGGCACTTGCGATGATCAAAGCGCAACCTGCAAATGCAAACATGGCTTTACAGGTAAACGGCAGTAGAAGCAGCACAGATTATTTTTTCTTGCATTTAGGTTTTGATTCTGTAACCGCTTTATTAAACAACATAAGTCTGATGGATGAAGTGTTGGTCTGTTTATTCTAAAGGTCCGTGATGGGCTAGACACATTTCATTTCGAGCCGATAACGGGCGGGCCGTCTAATCAAATACCGGGCGTAAAACTCGACACATTAGCTTTCAATACAACTCTGCTAATAAAAAAATTATTTGATATAGGTGATACATGCAACATTCCGGTTGTTACCAAAGAGACAGGTCGCTCGTCAACAGCGACCCTGATGCGTATCGCTGGCAGCGGCAGTGGCGTACTTCTTCAGGGCAGAGCTATGCATCAAGCCGTCGTATTTAATCATTCCATGTGGGTATTTGGAGGAAAGTTTTTCAGCTCGGCCTTTACGCAACGCCGCCATCTTGAAGTCGCCAGGTGAGTCGACGTTCTCTGTATAGTCGCTAAAGCACTCTCTCTTGCTAACAACTTAGTCAATTAGTAGGGTTCACATTTTATTTTAAAAGTCGATAAGTGGTTGATGGCGGCGGATGCAGTTTTACAGTAAAACCATCTATGGAAAGATAAAGGCCATGATTTTTGTAACGCCTTTTTGTTGCTTTATTACTGAACCTCGCCTTTGTTTTTGTTGATCACTTAGGTATGAGTTCGGATCGAGTCAGTGGAGTGTCGTACAGCAGCGCGGGACAAATATTCCTCCAAATACGTACGGCCACTCATTGGTATCGTATAAGAATTCAATGTACCTCTACGGTGGAGCGCACACATTTGATTCGAACAACGTGACAAACGCCTTGTGGCGTTTCGATCCAGCGCGCCTTGAATGGGCGCAGGTGTCGCACAAAGAAGCGCGGGTAGATTGCCACCTGCCTACACCACTTTGTCCACCTGTGCCCGCCGTGGGCCATGCTGCTGTTATGGTGAACCAAAGTATGCTAGTCTTCTTTGGGCATCATCCCATATTGGGCTATTTAAATATGGTGCAGGTACGTTGCCCAATAAGCATCTAAGCATGCACACTCTCTCTTCGAGGAGTTTACATGATGATATCCTAACGAACGAGGCAACCCGTAAGGTCAATCGTTGAAGGCAATAAACTAAATTGTAAAAAAAATTATATTAAGTTTCTTTTTGTTCCGCATTTTGACTTTAGGAGTACCGTATTGGCAGTGTGAAATGGGAATTGGTGCAGACGAGAGGCGCTGTAGTCAAGGGCGGATTCGGTCAGAGCGCCGTCTATGACGAAAGAAGTCAACAGGTTTTAATTTTTGGAGGATACCACTCAACGGTACGAATTCCCTTTAGGCCCACCCGTTTCGTTAACCATGTATATGTATTTGACTCCGACGGACTTCCAAACAGAATAACGTGCCGCTAGCAGACGACATATGGCTGGTGAATACTCCAGTCTTCTATAAACCTGTGAGTGCAAACCGGTTGAGTTTACTGTCTTCGGCTATCGGCTTAATTCTCCACAATTTAATGGCGAAAATGAAGCCCACACTCGACTAAATTTGTCCTTAAGCTACCGAATATCATTACCTCGAGACCGGTCAGCAGCTGTCCATCCAGCCCATTTTTACTGATTGTAAAAGCCACGGGCTAAATTGCCACCCTCAAGACCACCGCTCATACTGGTGGTTACATTAAGTTCCAGTTTGCAGGGTTGTCGGCATTGTGCTAAGGAATGGAAGGGACTCGGCTGCGAAGCACTGGCGGGAAATCGGAATAGCGATTGTCGGCGGAAGTTGCCATACCGGGATCCCCACGACTTCGGGAAAGGAAGGCGCCAAAGATGTACCATGACGGTGTATGGAAGTGCAAGTTCTCCATGACCGTTGGACTGTGGCAGCGACGTACTGCAGCCAGGGACAGGTAGCCGGTCGAAAGTGTCGCAACAAGGATGCCAAACCTGTATTATATACATGTATTAGATTGTATAAGGTGGCTCCTGCAGTAGAGCATGAATAGAATAGACGGATAACGGGTGGACCCTTAGGTCTAGCGGTTTAGTCGCTACCACCAAATGTAAATTCTCGTGTCAATTCATTAGCAACAAAATTAGGCCTTGCTCCCTCATTGCGACACATTCCGATTGGTCACCTACTCTTGGCGACGGCGTCGTCGTAAAAAATTTCTCATTTATACTTAACCCGTGGATAAGGCATGTCAAAGATGATAAATTTTATTAGATACTATGTTATTATGTTAATATTAGGGATATTTCTTATATAAAGACGAAGCATCTATATTCTAATTTTTTTTCGGAACTTTTCATAGAATAGACTGCCGTTAAATGAAAACCAGTGCTAAAGGTGCCATATGGCCATGCTTATTCAATATTACCATGATCCTCCACCATTACGGCATAAATTCCGAGTTTAGAGCTCTCACTGCGATTTTCATGTTATGCCTGTTTCGATTTGCCATTGAAGCAAGTAAGCCTTCAAGAGTAACCGTGCGTCGAGCGACATTGGGGGCATGAACCTGTTAATGTGTCGCTCATGTACGCTGTACACAGTTATTCCAACGGAAGTAAATGTTGAAAAGAGAGCAAACTAAAAGTTCTACACATGCAGGAGTTCAAACAGCGAAAAAGTTTCGAAGGCGTCGAAAGTCCAATCGGCGAACGTGCAGTAAATTTCCGTATAAAGAACGTAGGTGTATCACAAATAGCTTTTTATGAAGCTGCATGAGGATTGACAATAACGGAAACCGTTGATTTCGAGAAAAAAAATATCCATCTTGGTGGAGTTCATTCAACGGGAGGAAATCGAATAATAGCTTAAATTCGAAGGTCGAGATACAATTTTTCACAGCTATGAGCCATTTTTATAAACCCGCAAGATCTAAAAGTGGCTCTGTTCTTGTACCACGAATAATCGATAAACGCATAATTTGTCCGCTAGGAGAAACAAAGTGTGTTCGATTGCGAATGCTGTGCCCTATAATAATATCAGGGTCAGTCTAGTCGTGCTACTTGTAGTTTCTTTCGAATTAAAAAGTAATGCCTGCGTACTGTGCGAGCAAGCAATATACTTGAAAAATGTGATGGAAGAACCAAATAATTTCTCATATATATTGTATTGATAACAAATGACAATGTATTTTTAGTGATTGTTTTACTCTGCGGAACTGCGTTTGCGTGGATACTTTATTAGTTACCAGTCGAAATCTCATTTCAAATTTTTACTAAATTCCCCTTCCTGCGAACGGATTTTTCGAAGCTCCAGTGAGTGACTCGGCGTCAGCATGTAGGGACTTGTTAGTGTCACTCCAATTAAGCCCTATAAAAAGGTTAAAGGCCTGACTGTTTGATAGCCAGAACTTCTGGCTTTAAAAGAAACTCAAATGGTCGGAAAGAGAATTCTCGATAAAGTAACTGTCGTGAGCACGCCAGATTGTCCTTTGTTCTTCGCAATTCTTAGCATACACAAGTGTAGTTCCTTTCCAATAGTTCCGTTTTTCTCAAAGGAGTATACCTACGCAACTTCATGCACCTTCACACAGTGCTTTCACTCTACTTACGATCGCAACATCCTTCATTGCTAACATATGCAGCTGTTAATTTTGTGATTGATCTTTGGATCCTCGTGTGGAGTAGAGCTGAAGATGGCCGGCAGCTTCGTGCCCAAGAGAACTAAGTAGCAAACGACAGCACACAGATACTTTTGTTTCAGCAGCCCCAGAAAACGTCTCTTAAATTTTTATAAAATTAAAAGTTCTCGCGAACTACCCTACGGGTAATGGTTCCCTTCCCGATTTTCAAAGTAATCGGTACATGGCGCATCGAAATATGATAATCATAAATGCACGTTGGTGTTTCTTTCTGTTTAATTCCTTTGAAGTCCTTTTAGTCTGAGACCCGTGGGGCATCCTTCGCTTTTTTTTTTGGTTGAGGAGCTATTCTAAAGACACGTAGTGACTAGAAACCAAGTAGATTGTCGGCGGTGGGGGGGGGGGGGGGAGTAAGGGCGACTAAAAAAATTTTGATCTTGGATATCGTGCGCTAGACACTGGGTATGGCTGAACTAGATGAGGTAGTATTCAAAGCACTACTCGCTTAGCGGTTAGGATTTTTTGTAGCTAGAACTTCTGTGGGGGGAACTTCCTCTTGCCGGCAGGGTGCAGTATTACATGGAAAAACTTAACTGGAATCATTCAGGAGTTAACTGCATATGAATAAGGGAACCTTTAGATTCCTTCTTTAAAAGGAGTTTGTATCTAGCTAACGATTCTTCTGTCTGACTGTTGTTTACAGGGCAATGCGGGATCTGTTGTGGATTATTTATATTCATATAGGCCATCTACTCGTTCATGGTCAATTCTCCGCCCTTCAGGGATCCACCGCTATTTGCATTCAGCTGCGTTGCTCGACGGAGTGATGCTGATCTTTGGCGGGAACACTCACAATGATACCAGTCAACAATCGGGAGACCGCTGCTTCGCCGCTGACACCTTAGCTTATGACGTTGGTACGAATAATACAAATGTGATACACTCGCTTGCCTGGTACGACAGTCACTTTACGATGCGATGGTTAACTAAAAGAAACGTCGAACCATTTTACATTTTTGCAAGGACTTGCAATTTAGGCCCCAACATTCTCTACATACATTGTATCTATAGATTAGCCTACAAGACATGCCCAATGTCGTATATGCTTTTTTAGTAGACCAGGAGCAAGGTGTTCGTCTACTAACTAGAGGAATGTGGAGATAGTCTAAGCTCGAATCTGGGCGCGGATACGCTTCTTTTCCCCAGTAAAGGAACGGGGCAACGTATGTAGTAGCCCCTGATTTTGTTCGAGTTTTCAAATAGTGTCAAGCCTCCTCTCCCGACGGGTCTTTCAAGCAATGCTACCAAAATTTGCTGCAGAAAAGTCAGCCGACAGTCAGCTACGAAAAGCTTTCTTGCGATACGGCAGTATTTCGATAAAGGTTCGAGTAATTATAACTTGCCAGTCAGTGCAAGTTGCTTCGGCTAGAACTATGGAGTTCGGGTATATACGATTAAAAAAAAGAACTCGCCTTAAATTTACAAAAAAAAATGCCTAAATGTGTAATATACGTTACAACACTGCAAGAGGTGTGTAGTAGTACGAAACTTCTTTCTAATATGTGAAATTTAAAAACAACATTGAACAACAAGTTTCTTGGCCAGTTATAAATTATGCCCTTGAATTTTCATTTTGTTAGCCAAATTGACAATATCGTCTGTCGACATCTTAGAAAAATGCGTGAATCTATTAATACAGTTACTGACCGCCTTTCACAAAGAGAATATTAACTAGTTAATTAGACAAAAATAATAATAATGACAACAATGTAAGTATTTGAACATTTCATTCTAATGCTAACATATAGTATTTCAGAACAGATTAACTTCATCTGAGTTCAACTAGCAGTTTTTTAATTAATGTTTTAATCAATGTTTAATAATTCCAGAATGTGATTTGTGGCAAACTGTAAAGATCAAGGAGAGTCCGAATGTCACTCAAGGCTTCCGCCGTTTCGGGCACTCCGCTGTAACCTACAATGGGTATGCGATTTTTCAAAAATGACCAGTGGACAGTGAATCAAAGCTTATCTTAGCCGTGCTCGTATGTGTTGCCGATCTTCATTTCAAGCTGGTCTTATTCTGTGTGTATATGTATCTCTGTGCAGGTCGTTCCAAGTCAATATGTTGTTTTTTGTATTTTACTAATGATTATATTCAAATTTGGATTGGCGTTACGCGTCAGCTTGTTATTTTACAAAATGATAATAATCTCTTGTATTTGATGGCTTGCTTCCAGCTCAATGTATATATTTGGCGGTTTCAACGGTCGCATGTTGTCGGATACTCTGAAGTTGAGCCCGGCACACTGTGAGGCGCTTGACAAAGAGTGCCTATCGTTTTCGCTTCTCCACGGTACCAAATGCATCTTTGCAACTGGTGAAGGTTGTCTCAAACACACGCTAGCGAATCTTCGAGGATACCCTCAGAAAAAGGGTGCCAACTGTTCTCTATTGAAGCATTCGAGTCTGCCCATAAACTTGACACAGGTGTGCGAGAAACAGACCAACTGCCGCAGTTGCTTACACAACAGGTAAACACAAATAGGGCAAGTGAAAAAAAACCTATGATTTTCTTCTATCATTAATTTCATTTGTGCGTTCCGAAGTTTACCATTAAGAGCTGTGTTACACAGTAATGTTTACTCCTTCTCACTTCATATACTTTTTGGATTCATTGGGTTGTTTGGCAGCTTCGACTGTGTGTGGTGTGACTCGACGTGTGCACACAAGAAGTGCCCCAAACATTTGTCGGCAGCAGTGGTAAAAGTGAACGCAAGCCAATGCCTCGAGAGCGAGAGTTTGGCATGCGACAAACTTCACAATTGCCAAGCGTGTCATTCGGATGAACGTTGCGCCTTTAAGAAGAGCAACGGATGTATAGGATTTATGCTTTCCGATGGTAAGTTATAAAAACCACCACTATTTTCCTGCTGCAATATTTATTGTTGTAACAGTTAGTTAAGCTTCAGTCTAGTAATATGCCGACTATTTAGCAGTCTCCTGTGTGTACTATTTATTGCCTATGGACAATACGCTGCCTCGCTAATCTGCCTCGTTGTCGTCATCGTCGTCATTTTGCTGAATTTGTTTTCTAAGGAAATAAAACAGAGCGTGCAGTCAGTGAAGACCTGCGCGCGGAGTGCGATACTCATTGTTCGGACAAGCGGGACTGTGCCACATGCACAGCGGGGCAGAGCAGTGGTTGTATGTGGTGCAGCAATCTAGCTCGATGCCTCGAGACAAATGCATATGCCGCCATGTTCCCGTTAGGTCAGTGCACCGAGTGGTCGACGGGACGGTGCGACAGACTTTACTGCTCGCGGATCCGGTCGTGCAGGGACTGTTTGCAACATGAACGTTGCGGATGGTGTGATGATGGAAGTGATACCGGAAAAGGCCGCTGTATGGAAGGTGCGAACAATGGCCCAGTCGTGACTGGAGTCGACGTGTCCCAGGTCGCTAACGGTACAGAACAAATGGGGGCCACGTGCATTGCCCCAGCTTCGTGGAACTTTATCACATGTCCGGCGTGCCAATGTAATGGGCATAGTACGTGCGTGCCCGGCACTACCGAATGCGTCCAACCGTGTGCCAATAACACTCACGGACCCAACTGCGAGCGTTGCCAGAAAGGATACTACGGTAGCCCTATCAATGGCGGAGCGTGCCAACCGTGCATGTGTAACGGACACGGCCTCGACTGCCACCACGAGACCGGTAGGGGCATTCACTTTCGATATACAGAAGAGGGCGTTGTTCGGCTACTTTGATAACATTAATTTTGTTAGGTAATTGAATTAGCTATAAACAAGCCGGTACCAAACATTTCTATCATCTTTCGGCGCGATATAACTTTAGCCGTCACAGTAGTACGCTGCCACGGTATCGTCTAGTATCTTCTAAAGCATCTATTGTATTGCTTGCTCGATTCTCTCGTCACTCCTGACAACCAATTTTTTGCTCGTCGTTGCAGGCAAGTGCAACTGCACTACGAAAGGTCTTATAGGAAAGCATTGCGAGGCATGTGATAACACAAATCAATATTGGGGTAATCCAGTCGATGGGGGTACGTGCTTTTACAAACTCAGCATCGACTTTCAGTACACGTTCAATCTTTCACATGACGACCCGTTTACCGCAATTAACTTTATGAATATGCCACCAAGAGTAAGTATTTTTCGTTTCAAAAGACAATATTCACTAACCAACCGAATGAACTCGATGCATAAATATGTACGATTCAACGCTAACCACCTAGATTCATTCGGTAATATATACAATGCGCTCCGTTTATATCAGGACAAATTTCGGCGTGCTGTTTACTCTAGCGAGCCTATAACATTCGGCATCTTTCAATCCCAGAACAAAACTGTGTGTGTTATGGCATAATACAGGCATAATACAGTCTTGTTCGTATCTTCATGGTCTTCGTAGAATATCACTCTTGGTTCATTTCGCCTTTGTAATTTTCCATGCATTTTCTAGGGAGTCTCCATATGTACGAGAAAAATAATGAAATAACCAAAAATGCATAAGCAGCATACGAATCATATTTAGTAGCACTTGGATCTTAACGGTTATGTTGGAGTATATGCGTGCCCCGTGATTTAGCAGAACGGCAAGTCCACATGTACATCACAAAATAAAAAAAATGTTTCCGAAGACGCATAAGCCAAAAGACTTCAGAAAGTCCTAGTTTCACCATTTAGCAAATTCATTTTATGCATGAACCATCTATTTTGTATTTATTTCCAAAGAAAAATCATGCGATCGTCAGTCGACGTCTGTTTTCGACGAGTTTTTCGCGAAGGATATTTTCAGCTTGGCTACAACCAGATTCCGCATCTGTGGTTCTATCTTAACGACCGCTATAAAATAGAGCGGGAAAATAATGAACTAATGAAGTGTCATTATGTAAATTTAGCTTTTTTGCAAAGGATCTACCAGGGTCAATCGCTCTTTTAGCCTGAAATAGCTTGTTCAATGCGTGTGAATAGAATCTTACCGAAAAGGCTGGTAAGGCGTCTAAAGCACAAATTGAAAATCTTAAACTGAAGGATAGTTATCTGAGAGATGTCCTTATCGACACAGGCCGATACGATGCCTTTGTCTGTTTTTATTTAGATGCACTTCATAAATAACGGGCACCATGACCATGTAATCGTATATCAGAAAGCTAATGTTACTGTACTGATGGAATACTTTATTGTTACAGGTTGGACATGATGTAGAGTTCCAAATATCGTGTTCCACACCAGCCCTGGTCAATATCTCGATCAGCTTCGGTAGCCCCGAGCCCAGCGGCGAGCCTCGGGGAGGCCTTCTCCAGGTGTCGCCGACCCGTCAATGTGGCTCATTCAAAATGCCATTGTCACACGAGGAATTCAAGTTCGGCACTCGAAACGCTACTCTCTATGTGCATGTGTTCAATCTGAGCACGCCCGCCATTCTGCAGGTCGCTTTCTCACAGCACCGCGCACTCGATCTTCTGCAGTTCTTCATAACCTTCTCTAGGTAATGTTGAAAATCCCATTGTTGCACCGAGGATACCCTTAAGACTGTCGCTACGGTCAGTAGTCACAGCTAAGCCTTAACGCACATGGTTTTTTCAAATGTACATGTAGAGAAGAGGATGGGGCTATACGGGACCAGAGCTATATAAGCTGCTCCGCTTAGTTAGAGATGTAGAGCAACTTACGTTATGAGAACTTTTCGCTGTCAAAAGGCTAACTACTTTTCTGACGGTTCATAGAATTTTCGTCGAACGGTAAACAAACAGATCACCAGGTCATTTTTCTTACACAGTCTCGCTGGCGCCAAAGCTGCATTTCAAAGGCAAACTGAAAGTATGTTAGCTTTATCAAGTAACTATATTTGATGCCCATCCAGGGAGTTACATGAGCCAGCGTGAAATGACGCTATATGGGGGACTGCGTTTGTGGCATTTATGACACCGTATGCCGTAGTTACTTATTCTATCGAGAAACTACACAACCTTCAAGTATATAGGCTCAACTTGATAGGTATACGCGTATCTGTATATATTACACTGTTGAATTAAAGCATTGAACTATTGCATTTGTGCTACCAGTTACTGTTATTATCGATCACGTGTCACATGTTGATGCGGTTGCTTTTCAAAAGAAACCCTGGCGACTTTGTTAGCATAACATATCGCTCAAACAAACTATATCCTGATCGTAAGCGTAGATCAGTATCTAGCATGGATATTTATGTGTAAGCACGATATATGTGCAAGCTTTAATGTGGTAAAGTTGGTTTTAAATTTGGCCCACATTTTTACTGTTCCTGCTTATTTCTTGGACAAAAGCTTATTTGTCGATGTACCAAGTGATTAAAAACCCAGCTTCATATTGTACAGCAGAGTTCTGGTTGGGCCTATGGTAGAAAAATCATATTCTCTTATTTGCCTCAGTTGGCAGTGGATTATTATATAGCGTCGTATTTTCTAGCTATAATCAGTTTTTTTTTTTTTTTTTTTATTAAGAAGAGAATCGTCTTTTTCTCAAGTTGCTTCAAGTGAGTGATTTCTTCGCACGATATCATTAGTAGCCTATATAGCGTCATTTCCTGGCCCACATAACTCCGTTTTGTAGGACCTGATGGTCCAATGACATAGGTGCCTTTATTTGATATCCTTTTCTTTTATTATTATTAATTATTTTTAATATATTATTTTTTATAGGTGGTCATTTAGGTCACATAATAAAAAAATTCTTCGAATAATGCATTGGTATAATTTTGCTTCCCCGTGACATTAATTATTCATGAAAGCCGATGCGTTAAGTAAATTTTGGCCTGTATAGCCGACACGTCTTACTATATATGTACTATAATAATAATATCATTTTTTTCTAAGTAAAAATGGCCAAGAGCAGTTTAGAATATTGAGCACTAGATAGAGTAAGCCAGCTGCACCTTTGTTGCCCATAGCATTTGCCAAGAGTAGAGCGGATCGAGCCTTAAGGACCGGTTACGATTAATGAACAGCTCCGTTCAATACCGGTTGGGGACTGGTGCGTAGCCCGCTTTGCGTGAAAGCGCCTGCCGCGAGCCTGCAAAAGTCAGATCCTGCAAAAGAAAGCAATAAAAAACGCATGCGATAAAAACGCCGCTGTCGTCCTGAAGACTGTTGTCACTCATCCTACATAGAATATAACCAAGATTATACCTCAGCTCATTCTTTCGCCCAATCGACCGCGTTTATACTAGGCCACGCCCGATAAAAGGTCCTACAAGTCGAATTCAGCGCGTACACATAAAGCTGACCACAGCATATTTCTTAAAATTAACCTGTGATTTGTTTCTCTAGTTAGCCAGGCCATGGTTTTTGGCTGTCATGCGCGAGGCCACATAGCTGAGTGTGATTAAAGATCCAAAGCGTAAAACTTTCAACAAGATGTTTCTGCAAAAGGTGGCCCCCGGATTACCAAGTTACACGCATAGAGGACGATAGGGAGAAAAGTTCTCTAGCTTTGTCAAGGAGAAGTGCTTCCTGAAAAATTAGCTTGGACTACCATATACCTCTTGCAACTTTTTTGAGAGATATGAAAGATCTCTCAAAAAAGTTGCAAGAGGTATATGGTAGTCCAAGCTAATTTTTATGCAAGCTAATTTAAGTATGCCGAAGTAACGGTTTCGACAGCCGTGTTACTGTGGCTGCTTCAAGGCGCTCACACGGCTCGTCCGCTTACGGTTGTATCCCAAATATCAAACGAAAGCTGATCTGAACCTCCGGGTGGTGTTGAGCGCGGTTAGGCGGAAAGCAATGACTTGGCAAACGATTTCACCTATTTTAGATACGGGGAATTTTAAGACACTATCCCTAAAATCTTGAATTATGATTCCCGGATGTGGAAACGCAGGAAACCGAGATGCGCACCGCCGATTTTGAAATCGGCAGCTGGAAATGAATATATGATTTGAGCAAGGCAGGTCCGCAGGGTAAAAGTTTGAGGACAGTTAGAAAATGTTCATAGGAGTCGAAAGGAAGATGCGAGCTTGTGCAAAAAGTTGCAATCTTGCTACCACGGGTCCTTTATAACTGTGAAAAAAGTGGCAAAACAGCTAATCATGAACGTGAAGGACATAAGACGTTCGTATCTTAGCAAATGTATACTAGCAACGCGGTGAAGTCTAAATACGCCTGCAGGGAGCATTTTCTTTTTTGTCGGCAGTTCTGTTGGTTTTTTCTGTTTGATGAGATAGTAAGAACATAAAACACTCGGATTCCTGGGATATAGTATTCCTTTATCTCCACTTACTACTCAGAAAAATTAATTCATATATATAAAAATGCTGATTGGTTTGAGATGAATTAAAAATAAAGGCAAGGACTTTGAATTTTGAGCGCGAGGCTAGCAACAATAGCGAGACAGTGGATACAGTCATGTGATACCAGTAAGGTGCCTAGGATTAACTTTATTCAACGTTACTTTGAAACTATCATCTCTTCAATACAATTAATAAGCAATGTGTTCTGAAACAACCACGGTGATGATAATGGCTAAGACAAAAACCGTTCATAATAAGGTAAAAAGTTTCTTTTTTGAGGTAGATTTTTTTGTTTTTAGAAAGCACGTCGATTGGAACTTGTGGCCCTCGTGTTTAAGCATTGACAAGTCGATAGTCTGGTGGTATCTGTATTGGCAAGGCTGCCAGCGCGCCATTATTTCACAACTCATCTCGGAGTGTTGAGAAATCCAAGTTCTAGCGTAGGTATCGCAAACAGATGCTTTGTGTTTATTGTGGCTTGTGCATAGCTGTCTTCCCTCCGAAGGCTCGAGGGCTCGGTAATTCATGGACATCAGTGCAGATGCCGGTGATTGCGCAAGGCCAAGAGAATGTGGACGAGCGGATGTCAACAGGGGGGTAACACTTAACCAACTCACCGTTTAAATTGGCTGGCTAGCTCTTAGTACCCCTACTGCTGCTGCTAGATATAGTCACCCGAATCGCCTTTCGTGTGTCGTGTGCTGTTTTTGAAGCAAACCGAGACAAGCACCAACCACCGGTTAAGATGTTTTTCAAGCAGGGTGGCCATCGGAAGAGGCAATCAGCCTCATAATCAGGTCGCTTGCAGCAAGTGTAGTAGCGTTGTCAAAAAATCATGTCGAATATAGCAACGCTGCAAATACAATAGGTTTAATGATGTCTAGAGTTTCGTTCTCGTGAATTGTGTATTGTTTACCTGTAGGTTGCATCCTACGGCATGTTTGGCCTCTGACCTGCGCGCTTAGGTCAACATATGTACGTAGCTGGTGCGTAACGGAACTATAGCAAATTAGCTTTAAAGATAACTAGCTGTATGTGGCCACACGTGGGTTTTCTTTTCCTATATATATGCGTATGTAGTCATATGTATAAAGTCACGCCTGTGTTTTCTACAGCTGCTTCCTGTCGCTGTTAATCATCGCCGCCGTGTTGTGGAAAATCAAACAAAAGTATGATCTCTACAGAAGGCGCCAAGTAAGTAGGAAGGGCTTCACGACGTTCTTTACACCTTAGTTACAGATAATGGACGTTGTATATGGCAAATAAAACAATACAATATTATATAGTAGTTCTAGTGCCATTCCATTGTGCTTCGTGTGTGTGTGTGTGTATTTTTCGTAACGTTTGACTAAACATGAGTAATGACTATTACTTAATGTTACTATCATTGTGAGGATCTTTATTGATACTGTATTTGTGTCAAGACCTCTGTATGTGTGCAATACATAAAGGTATAAAACATTTTGCTGCTCAGTTGCCACCTGCGATGCCCTAGGGCATCTGGCAGTGTATTGCATTACGGGTTGTGTGGAGAATCTATGATAATAATTGGTAAAAATCATTCTTAATTAGGAGGTGCTGCACTGTAAAACACATAATTGTGTATCGTCTTATTTTTTGATAACATTATACTAACGGTACTTAGACAACATGTGGTGTTATTTAACAACTCATTGAATAACACTGTTGTTGTTATTTGCCTTTACGATTTCAGCAACTGTTTGTTGAGATGGAACAGATGGCTAGCAGGCCTTTTGCGGGGGTAACCGTTGAATTGTGCCCGCCTCCGTACGCATTGCCACCGCAGTTACATCAGCCAGGTGGACGTCCCACGCCCGTTGCTCTCGAGCCATGTAGCGCTGGAAAGGCAGCTGTCATTTCGCTCATCGTTCGATTGCCCCGGCAAGATAACACTTCTGCAGTTCCCTCGGGCCAATCTGGTTAGTAGGGCTTCCAAAAGCCGAGAGGAAATTAGGCTTTCTAATATTTTAATCTCGCTCTCTTTTTTAATTTACTTTGTTATTTAAATACTCATTTTTCTTTTTTGTTTGCCTTTGACAATGTCGCGTGGATTGTTTCTTTGCTATCAGGTATTGCCATTGCTTCGGCATTGGTGTCCTTAAGTCAGCTGGGTGGGAAAGGTCAACAGAACTCCATACGAGACAGTGAGTTACAAGGACACCACAAGGGTGACTGTTGGAAGCCCAATACCAACGTAGGCACCTGCCTATGAATCAGGCAGTTAAGCGAGAAGCGGAGAGTAATCAGTTTTAAGATGGCCACAGCAACAGCACTTTCCTCTGGAAAAGAAGCACTGCATTGACCAGTATCATCAATGAAGATCCTACTTCATAATAAGTGCCCTTATACCACATCTCTTCACTATTAACAATAAGGTAGCAACTAATTTTTTTCAGAAATTTGTGAAGCCCTTGCCATAATTAAAGACTTTACCAAAGCAGGCCTATCTTAGAAAGGAAGATACCTATTGTGTATAACAAAGCCGTAGCATCCATCTGCAGATGTGTTACTATTTTATTGTAGTCACACGACTCGTCTTTCCCATGTGCATATGGGTGCGAACAGGTGTCCATGCACACCCGTGCATCAGATTCATTGACACGTTGCCACGGTCAAAAGGTTTTTCCATATTCAATGGGGTCGTGAAGGGGATTGAAACATATTCACCTGCTAAGGCTAAAATTGTCCTATGATTGAAGAGGACTGAGTACAAGTTGCCAACTTAACATATCCGATCACTTGTATTCCAGTAATTTTTATTTCAATGCAATTATATGCTCGTATTGTGTGTTTATCGGATAAATGTCCCAAATATCAGATTTTATAAAAGAGGCAGTTTAACTGTTATGGAAGGAAAATTGTAGTGCAAATTATGAGCTAGCATCGGGAGTTTTATTTGGCCTTTATGTAAATTTTTAGGGTCTTGATCTGATGCTGTTCCCCTACTAGTGAAGAAATTGTTTTTGTCAGCCGTATTTAAAGTACTTGATCCTTTTAACTTTTCGCTACGTTATTATTTCAAGCAAACTTTTGCGCCAAAAGATAAGATCATATATATTCTACTAGGCACGGAAACACGAGGGCAGGGCTGGAGAACTATGTTGCTGTTGCTGCCGTCAACGCCGCAATCACTATAAAATAAACTACGAACGGAACAAAAAACTCTAGAAGAACTCACAAGCAACTTTGATCCGGCGCAACAAGTACCACGGTCGTACTGTGTGTGGATAAACCTATTAAAATCGTCACCTCTTTTAATTTATATAAACTTTCTGGAGGTAGTCTGGACAGACAAGTGGAGTGAGGCAAAAAGCGATTATTGAGATTCTGCTCAGTGAGGTATTTCACGATGACGACGGGTGCCAAAAGGAAAGACTAATGGGCGGCCGGAAGGATGATTAGCAGCCGCATGAAGATAACGACGACGGCGACAACGGCGGCGGCGGCGGCGACGATGATAACAACAATAACAACAACACGAGGAGAAAAAAAGGGAGAGAAGAAGGAGAAGACGTAAGTGAAGAAAACGTAAAGCGAGTGATAGGCACTTTTGGGGGTAAGCAAGGTATGCGAGCTGTGATAGTTGGTCGATAAGCGACTGAACTGGGATAAAGCCACAATATTATAAATCATCATTATCATCAACAGACCAACGCCTGCAGCCTGAGCCCGTCGGTAGTTGAGTGCTATCGAGAAGATTAGCGGAGCACCGAAACATAAACGACGCAGACCTTGCCGTGCCTCTTCTAGCTGAGCTCAGCACGTGACGCAATAAGGCGTCTACAACAAAAACAACGTGCTATCGATGCTAATTTAATACAATAACTACAATTCGATATTATGCCGCTATAAGCAGGTGTGCGTCCACGTTCATGACCCCGCAGTCGTAGGGCGATGTGAGAACGAACTTTGCGTTTATAGAAGACTAGCGTGTGTTCAACAAGAGGGGTTTTTTTAGTAAACGAATCACATCAGAGCCGTTTGTTGGGTGTCTATAGCAGTTGCGACTATACCAAGTAATGCACCTGCATCGGTTCTACGAATGTCCAAATTGTGTAGATTGAGGACGTGGCCTGAAGGAATATAAATACATGTTGCATGTGTATTATAAAGAACTCTCATATATATACATATATATGTGCGCTTATAGAGGTAACTGATGCTAAACAGTGACACGCTGAAGATGAATGAAATTAAAAGCTTTTTGACGTGTTCAAGCAAAAGCATTACGAGGAAAGAAAAACTAAATAATAATAATAATAATAATAAGAAGAAGAAGAACTCAAACCGGAAATGGATGTTAGCATGAAGTTCGTCGACGGTGGGAATATAAGTTTATCCTTATTTGGCACTTTAGGAAAAAATTGTACGCGTGTGCAGTCTGTCTTGTTCTAGTGAATTGAGACGCTAATCAGTAGGAAAGGTTTAGGTTTTTCTTTATTAAGAACCTATTCGTTTAGATAATCGATTGTACAGACGAAACGAGTAGTAAACGATCAAATCTGGCTTCAGCACCTTTTACATTGACGTAAAAGAAAGGATTGCGTATAGAGAACTTTTCTCTTTTATCAAATGAGCTTATTAGTTCTGCCTAACAAAGCAATCAATATAGCCTTCGCGAGTTCGTATCGTACAAGCCTTTGATGATTCATAAGTCTTGTTTGCATAAAGGAATTGCATTGCTTAGGATAGTTTCTTTCACCGTTCTGGTAGTAATATTTTACCGATAACTTATCAATGTGGTCTAAAGGGTGGCCAAATCCATTTCGGCGTTAGATAATCATGGCTGGTGGCTGTACACTCAGGCGTCAGTTCGCTTAAATTGGCGTAGTTCCGTCGTTTTTAGCCTATCGCCTCTGTTGCTAAGATCTGATTAAGCCATAAATAATAGTAGAATTGAAATCATGTGTATATGTCAACGTGCGGGAGGCCGGCGGAAGTTGCTTGATGACTAACTTTCATCAAAACAGGCACTTTAAACTGTAAATAGTTGGTATTACGTTCTGTGTACTTAGAACTTTAATTTATTGGAGTCATGAGTTTTAGAAAGCATTCTGTGTAAGTTCCAGCGGTAGCAATAGCATGCTAACAGCGGGAACGCCTGATGGCAAACGTAGATCGAATCATATGTAGATTTTATATGACTCTTATGAATATGTAGCATTTACACTTTACGCTTATTATTAGAATTTTTTTTTTTTTCGCATTTTGAAAACACTTTCCGTCCGTTTGTGGTTTATAGATAATCGTTCATATGTTGGGTGCGCAACGATTGGTCAGCCTCTTTTGTGTATATTAGTCACTAAAAACACTAGGATTGTTATGTCATTTTTGACAGTGATATGTTGTCTGGTTTTTATTTTGAAAAAAAAAAAAAATATTTTTAGTAGAAAATAGTTTCTGTTTGTTTAATACTGAATAGTGTTTAGATTAGTGGCATCGTTTACAAAACGAGAACGCATGCACAACTAGAGTAATGATATTATATCGGAAGCTTGGTTGGGGCACACACTAACTGAAACACCGATAACAGCAATATTAACAAAAACCGTCGCAGAGTAAAATATTGAAGTAGCTAGTGTTTAGTTCCATATAGTTCGTTGCCCATTTTTCGAATCCCAAATGGGAAAAGCCCTGAAAACGAGGCGGGGACAAAACCTACTACTCTGTTACGCTTTTCCTAACGTAAATCATCATCTCCTTCGATGCGAGCAATCTTAACAAAAACATGAAGCAAATTTAAGACTAACTAGGGACTGCATTCAGAGTGAGGCGGGAATTGGTGATGATAATAGATCGTGATTGCGGGTTGCGAGAGTCTTCGCTTTATTTTAGCAACGACGTAGCGCAATTAGTTCAGTCTCGTACGATCATTATTAAGCGAGCATAAAATATGCGTCAAGCATCGAACAGTGACGGGAATCTCCATAGCTCTTACTGAAAGGGTCGGGTTAATTCAAAGAAGAACACAGATGAAAAATTCAAGTATCAATCCGAATACTTATAGCGTCCTTATAAAGGATTATGCTATCCAGACTTGAGTTGGCTGAAGGTCTTTAACCGATCCAGGATGCCGCCACCTGGCAAGGGCAATAGAAGTGTCAATTATTATAATTAATGGGGCTAATAATAGTAGTAGTAATGACGACGGTGATGATAGTGTATATGACAAAACGGTGGTATCACCTTCGTGAGGTAAAAAAGAGACACGTAGCTTTTGACTGCAAGAAGATGTGCATATGTTCATTGAGTAGGAAGTACATATTGGGACAGATTTGTATAGTTATTAAAAAAGGAATAAAAAAACATCTAGTTAGATATAATGACTAAAACAAACTGAAACATCAGGCAAATAGTCTTACTCCAAACATATGACCTGCGTGTGTATGATGATAATGATGATGCTGCTGCTGACAATAACTATATATA